AACACCTGGCTTCGTTCTGGAGCTGGACTGGTCTCCCTGCTGTCCAAGCACAAAAGCTAGCCCGAGCCTGGTCAAACCCTGGTCTTACACCCCTTTAAGATTTCCTGCAGATAAAACACGAAAACCTTCCTTGGTCTGTCAGAGCTCCCTTCTCGTGGGTCCAGCGTGGTTGCCCCGAGCTGGAGCCTGCACTTGCAGACCCTCCTCACAGGGATGCCACTCAGTGAGGCCTTACCCACCCTCTCTGCACGTGGCCCCAAGTTCTCCCCCCTCGGACTTCATGCTTCCATACTGACACGTGTTTATTGTCCTTTGTCCCCCACCACGTAGACCTCTGTGACAAGAGCTTCTGTCAGGAGGAGGGTCTGGGGCTGCAGGAGGGGAGGGCGGGATGCTCTGGGGGGCTGTGGAGGGCTCTCTGCTCACTGTAACGAGCTCTGACTTGGGGATGGAAAGCGACAGGAAGCCCTGAGGTAGCACCTGGCGGGTGTGTGGCTGTGAAATCGGAGGAACGTGAGCAGAGGGGACTGGGGTGGGATTGGCTGCAGGTCCAGGGGCCCCAGGTAGGTGCAGGGACCACCTGTAGTGTCCCTGGCTGCCCACAGTGGGGTGTGGGCCCTGCCCACAGGCAGAGTCAACACTGACCAGATCCTGGCTGGCTGCTCAGAGCCCTGCCTCTGCCCCCCAGTCCCGTGGCGCAGATGCCACCAGCAGTGGGCGCAGTGCCCTCGGGACTGGTCCCGCCCAGCCTCCCAGGGGCTGTTGGCCTTGGGCTCACTGCCTGTGGTCCTGGCTGCCCTTGCTCACCAAGTGTCCCTGTCCTTGCTCCTGGCCCTTTCAGTTCCTCAGCGGGCACTTACGGGGTACCTACAGCTCGGCCCTGCCCACATGCCCTTCCAGTCGAGTAGTGTGGCCAGAAACATCAGTGCAGGGAAGGGCCGGGGGACAGCTCTGGAGAGCCTCGGCTTCCTCAAGGCAGTCTGGAGCGGGCCCTCCAGAGAGGGACAGGGGAGCCATGGACAGGCTGGGCAGGCTGGGTGCTAAATCCCATGGGTGTGCTTGCAGATCGGATCAACATCAAGAGGAAGGGGGCATGGCCCTCCACCCTCCTGTCTGTGCAGCACGTCATCGACTGCGGGATGGCTGGCTCCTGCGAGGGGGGCAATGACCTGGAGGTGTGGTCCTACGCCCAGAGGCACGGCATTCCGGACGAGACCTGCAACAACTACCAGGCCAAGGACCAGAGTAGGGCTCACCCACCCACCCTGCCTCCCTCTTCCCAGGACAGTCTAGGCTTCTCTCCCTGGTGGGGGCACTAGGGGAGGCTCAAACCTGTGGGTTTGGGGGAGCAGGGAGCTGGCGCCCATAGTCCTTGCTGAGGGCACCAGAAAAGCCCTGGGCAGGGATCTCTCCAGCCTTGTGTCCCTGTGGCGGGGCTGGCCGTGGTTGTGGTTCTGACATGGTGGCTGCGTGGGCCTTTGTAAGAGAAGCACAGGTGGCCATGATCCAGGGAAGAGTGAGTTTCCCGGGAGCTGCTGAGCGCAGGCGGCCCTGCTGGAGGAACATGCTCTGGCCTGGTTCCCACCGCACGACCCTGGGCCATGTGCATTCAGGTGGACCTGGAGTCCAGAGGCCCTGCATGGACCAGCCAACCGAAGCGGCCTGGAAACCCTGGAGTTGGCACATTCCTTTGAGGCTGCTCCCCTTTGAAATGACAAAGTCCCTAATTGGCAGTTTTAAGTCACCTACCTTTGTCAGCTGGAGCAGAGAGCTGGGACCAATTCAAGGGCTGTTTCAGACAGGAGGGGGTTGGGGGAGGCCAGGTGCTTTCCCACCCCACCCTCTCCTACAAAAGGGATTGCCTCGCCCCTGTGCCTGTGAGGCACACAGCAGATTCAGGCCCCACCCCATGGCTGGCCCTCGGCTTGCCTCCAGGGCCATATTGCCCAGTCACAAGGAATTCCCCCAGACTGGTTGGGCAAGTCTTGAAGTGGTAAACGCTGCAGGGATCTGAGAACCGAGAGGGGCAGATGAAGGGAGGAGGAATGACAGCTAGGAACCAGGAAATCAGGTGGGCCCTGGGGCCTCACTCTGACCCTCTGCCCTGCTCAGCCCTGAACTGGTCTCCTCAGGGCTGGCCTTTGTAACCCTGGATGAAGGGCAGATGCAGCTCATCAGGAGCCTGGCTGTTTGCAATAAATAGCCTGGTCTTTGTATTTATCGCATGGTGGCCACTTGCTGGTTGTGCTGGGCATTTGGTGACCAAAGGACACATCAAGCCATTTTAACCTCAAGGAGTCGAATGTCCTAGGGGAGGAACCTGGGCTGATAAGAAACTAGAACAGCAACATAAGTAACTCGAAAGCTGTGAAAAGGCAGGGAAAGGCAGGTTGGGTCTGAGGAACAGAGGCAGTGGGTGGTGTGGAGACCTAAAGGCTGCAGTTTTTAAAGCCTAATTCTTGATACCACCGCAAACCAAAATCATCAAAAATGCTCTTTTTGCCAAACGATCAGCCTATTCACTAGTCATCTTAAGAGCTAACTCATCTTCCGAGCTAACCATCCAGTCACACTCTATTTTCAGCTGTGGAGTTTGTGAACGGGCCCTTCTCCAGGCCATTAAAAGAAAAGAAAAAGGGCTGTCTCTTGAGTGCCTACTATGCGCTAATTACGTCCTGTGCTTCCCACCAAGGCCTGGGGCCCGGCTTTTCAGGACTCCTTTGCAGCCGAAGGAGCAGCGGGATTACACAGCGGTGGTGATGACTGCCAGTGTCAGTCAGGGAGCCGCGTGCAGGGTGGGCCTGGAGTGCTCACGGGCAGGTGACGGGGGGCGGTCCCTCACTGACTGTGTGTGCCCCCAGAGTGTGACAAGTTCAACCAGTGTGGCACATGCACGGAATTCAAGGAGTGTCAGCCCATCCAGAACTACACGCTCTGGAAAGTGGGCGACTACGGCTCCGTGGCCGGCAGGGAGAAGATGATGGCAGAGATCTACGCCAACGGTCCCATCAGGTGAGCAGCCCCGGCTGGGAGGTGCCGCTACAGGCACGTCACCGCTTTCCTTCGGCGGGCTTTACTCGCAAGGCTCGAGACGGCCGGCCGCCAAGGAGTGGAGCCAAGCTGGCCGTGGGCCCCTCGGGTGGTTTTGAGTGAAGGGCAGCGTGTGGAAAGGCCCCGGTTGCAGGGAGTGCTGTGGGCTGTGGGCTGGGCTGACAGCAGGCAGACTCACTTGCCGCACTATCTCAGTCAGATTTACTCTGATTCACAAAGTGCTAACTCCCTCCCTGCTTGTTCCCAGCTGCGGGATAATGGCAACAGAAAAGATGGTGAATTACAGCGGAGGCATCTACGCGGAGTACCAGGAGCAGAGCTACATTAACCACGTCATTTCCGTGGCAGGCTGGGGCATCAGCGATGGGACCGAGTACTGGATTGTCCGGAATTCGTGGGGTGAACCATGGGTAAGATGTTCCTGCTGACACTCCTCACATCCATGGTGCTGTGGCTTTGTGGCTGGGAGCTGGGCCCTCAGCAAGCGCCAGTGACATTTGGGGTCAGACACTTGACTTGTGTGGGGGCTGTTGCTGTCCTGGGCATCGCGGTGCGTTAAGCAGCATCCTGGCCCCTAGCCCCAGACACCAGTAGCTGCTCTCCCTGTCCCTCCGTTGTGACAACCAAGACCGTCTCCAGACATTGCCAGGTGTCTTCTGGGGGAACCGCCTGGTGGTGGGACTCGGCTCTAGAAGTTTCAGGTTAGCTGCTTATTCCTTCACAGCCATCTCGTCCTTTTTCCTGTCAGTTTTGGCTCCTCCCAGTAATCCTGTATGATTTTTTCATACCTTTGATTTGGGTCACAAATGCAGGGGAGAGAAGCTGATTGCCAGAATTTTAATTTCTAAGTAGTATGAACCATTAGTGGTTTAAGGCACAGACATTCATTTTTGTGAAATGGGGGAAAGTGATTCATGTTGAAGTGCCACAATGTCAATATTTTGTATATATATTCTTATTGATTGGCTGCCTCCTGCACGCCCCACACTGGGGCTTGAGCCCGCAACCCGGGCATGTGCCCTGACTGGGAATCAAATCGGTACATAGGTCAACCCTTACCACTGAGCCATGCCGGCCAGGCACAATGTCAATATTTTGTATTAAATGACTACACATGGAGAAACAGGAGGAAGTTGTCATCTGGTCCAAAGCATCCATGTTTTGGTTCCATGAATTGGCCTTTGCCATGCAGGTACCTGCACCCCTCCCTCATGTGACTCACAAAAGGTATTTGCAAGCAGGGGTCCCACACGGGGAAGGGAGAGGCAGGTGGTGGAGCCTGTGCTGAGTGACAGGCAGAGGGAGAGGGGGTGTTCAGCGTGCTGAGGAGTGGGGGTCAGGGGCTGGGCGACAAGCTAACATGAGCTTCCACTTGTCACAGGGTGAGCGAGGCTGGATGCGGATAGTGACCAGCACCTACAAAGATGGGAAGGGCGCTAAATACAACCTTGCTATCGAGGACAGCTGTTCATTTGGGGACCCCATCGTTTAAGGCAGATGTCTCGAAGAGCAGATCTTTAAGAAAATATCATGAACTCCCGTGGTTTGGAGGATTGGGAGCTGATGTTCAAATCACACTGCGAGGGCACTAAGCACCTGGCGGAGCACATCCCCTGGGAGAGTCTCAGAAGGGACGGCGTAAGCCAGCCCAGGCCACTCCCCTGCAGGACTGCAGTGAACCATCTACCTGCCCGAGATGGGATCGCAAGACATTAATTATGTGAACTGCATTTTCGTCGATTGATGGTTTGGTATTTTCCCTCTGGCAACTGTAGTCTATAATGTGGCATTTATCACCAGTTCTTTTGTCACCTTGGAAGGAATGGGGAATAGAGGGAGACAGCAGTTTCAAATCGCCCAAGTGATGAATAAAATACGGGATTTCACAAGAGAACGGAGCCTGAGCGTGCCTTATTTACACATGGGAACAGAACACCAGGGTCTACACCTTTCAACCCAACAGGAAAGTTTTTATTTGTCCTTGGGAAATTAAAACAATGAAATGAAATAACGAATCAGGTTCTTGTGAGAAAACATAAGTCAGCTTTGCAAGCAGTTGATTTAAATGTTTCAGCTTCTGAATTCCCACCACCCATCCCGAGAAGTAACCTGAACACAGGCCCTCCTGGGGGAGAGAATACTGTGAGCAGAACTGACAAGGCGAGGGGACCACTCACAACAGCAATTTCCCACTTATCTTGCTCACATTCTCCTTTTTTAAAAGGCCATTCACCCAAGAACGCATTTCCGAGGTGCTGACTGAGCCCCTTTGGTCTGGAAGGCGTTTCCCCCGGTCTGGAATGTTCGCTTCGGCTCCGGAGGGTACTGGGTCAGTTCACCAGGATGAAGTTGGATTTGCAGTGAGCTTTACAAATGGGAGGAACACGGGTCAGAACCAGAAGGTAAAACATGACATGTAAACTAGCAGGGGGACACTCCCGTCAGCTTACCTATAAATTCTGTCACAGGGTCATGTTCACCTTCAGTCTTAATGGTGCCTGCGATGCTGTCATTTTCCAAGATGGGGAGGAAAAGCTGCACGAAGTCAGAGGTGTATGGCGGGGCTATGACGTCGAGCACCTGCAAGGAGAGGACAGCAGGTCACTGTTCCTGCACGCACGCCCACGAGCAGCCTCGCACCACAGGCAGATGAAATGCCAGTTGGTCTGTAGAAAACCACCCTCCCTATCCAGCGTCTTGCTCCCCAGTGACCCCAGGACCCAGGGGGTAATGCAGGTAAACACAGTACAGTCCCAGCATGTAGGAGGAAACTAGTATCTATGTCACCATAATCGGCATGGGTACCAGGAAGCACAGTTCTCAGAGTTAGGTACAAAACACACTTAAATTAATCCAGAAAGGGCACTGTTAGTGTACACAGTAAGGAACATGAAACAAATGGTGTTGCTGACCTCGGTTACAAAATAGCGAATGAGAGAAATGTCAGTGTCCAGCTTCTCCAGACACTTGCGGATGTAACTGACAATAGGAAGTACATAACCTCGACTCAGCAGGTGTACCATCCTGTCCAACAGGGTCTTCTTCAACTCAAGCTACAAGAGTGAACAGAGAAATCAGTTAGAGAAGGCCCTCTCCTCGGCCACCTGGCAGCCCCGCCCTGCTCACCTGTTCCATCACGTCCAGCTGGGAGTGCTCCGTCTCAAAAAGTTTCACCAGCAGCTGCAGGACCTGGGGGTGCAGGAGCTGGTGGCAGGTGCTGATCTGCAAACAGGCCAAGGAAGCCCTGCTGAGCATGAGGGCTGATCCCCAGGCTCATCATCAGCACACAGAGCCACTGTCACAGCCAATAAACAGCTTATCCTGACAACTGTGGTCCCCATCACTCAGCCCAGCCAGTCAGCTGGCTTCACTTGATAAAAACACATTTACACAGTCAATGAACCATCCTCAAAAGGAAAACCCTGGTTTAGGATAGAAATAACTCACTTTGGAGATTAAAAATGGAGGCAGAGTAAGTGCACGGACCAAACTGGAATTACAACTAAAATACAGAAAAACTTCCTGAATAATCAACAGAAGACTTGCTGGAGAGAACCCTGATAACCGAGGACCAAAAGTGAAGACCCCTTAAAGACTGGTAGGAGGGGTGGAGGGATGGAGGGGTGGAGGGGCGGAGGCGTGAAGGGCTGGCTGGGCTCACACAGACAGCAAATAAAGTTCCAGAGAGGTATCTCAGCTGTGAGGGTTGCGACTAAGAACTCTGGGGTCTAATCCCCAAGATAGGCCCCCCTCAGAGAGCACCAGAAATGAGAAGGGTACCCACAAAACATCTGGCTGTGAGAAGCAGCAGAGTTGCTGTCTGTGAGGAAGGGACGGCTGGAAATGCAAACACTCTTAAAGCACCAACACACAAAATTCCCTGTGAAGCCACCCACTTTGTGCTCCAGCAGAGGGAGGGCAGAGTGGACTGGAGCTGTGCGAGCAGAAGCCGGGATCAGGGGCTCTGACATTAGAGCTCAGAAGGCAGAAACCCTGGTTTCCTGTGTTGAGTCACTCTCTCAAGCAGCAGAGGACATCTTTCCCACAAAGACATTTGCTATACAGGTGACCTGGCCTGGGGGAAATATAGTTGACCCACCATATTGGAAAACACCTTGTCCCATGGAACAGAGTTGCTCAGGCCCATTAAGAGACTGAGAATAACAATTAGCTTCCAGGCAGAAGCAAATATAAAAAAAACTCAGTATAAAAAAACTCTCGCCACACCTGAAAACCATTGCCTGGGGGCAAGTACAGTAGTAATTCTATCAGTCTGTAGGCAGAGGCGTGTCTGGAGGTGTTGAGTCTTTGCCTGATCTAATTAGTCAGACATGGGGTTTGACACTGTCCTGCACTAGAGATTGGGAAGCATAGCAGATCTATCTAATACATACTAGTAGTCACAAACCAAAACAGGCAGACAAAATGAAGAGACAAAGAAACAACCCCTAAATGAAAGAACTAGAGAATTCTCCAGAAGAAGAGATAAATGAAGCAGAGATAAGAAATGTATCTGAAACAGAGGTTAGAGTAATGATGGTAAAGATGCTCAACAGCGTGAAAAAAGATATAGTGACTATGAAAACAGAAATAAAGAATGACATTACACAAAGAACACACTGGAAGGAATACACAGCTGATTAGGAGAATCTGAGGATCGAATCAGTGAATTAGAAGACAGGGTTGAAAAAAATGACTCAATCAGAGAACCAAAAAGAAAAGACAATTTAAAAAGAGGAAGATAGATTAAGAGAGCGATGGGACAACGTGAAACATAACAATATTTGAATAGCAGGTATGTCAGATGTGGCAGAAAGGGAGAGAAAATGTGTTTGAAGAAATAATGGCAGGAAAGGTCCCCAACCTGGTAAAGGAAAAAGTCACACAAGTCCAGGAGGCACAGAGAACCCTAAGCAAGAAGAACCCAAACAGACCCAAGCCCAGACACATAAAATAACAAAAATTATAGACAAAGAGAAAATCTTAAAGGCAACAAAGGAAAAGAAAATTGTTACCTACAAAGGAGCTTCTTCTATAAGGCTAACACCTAATTTCTCATCAGAAATCCTACAGGCCAGAAGGAAATGGCACAAAGTACACAAGATAATAGAAAACAAGGTTCTGAAACCAAGATTACTATATCCAGCAAGGCTATCATTCAAAATAAAGACCTTCCCGGACAAAAAAAGGCTAAAGGAGTACATCAACACCAAGCCAATATTACAAGAAATGCTAAAGGGACTACTGTAATAAGAAACAGAGAGAGAAACCTAGGCATACAGAATTAAAATGGCAATAAATAAGTACCTATCAATAATAACCTTAAATGTAAATGGATTATATGTTCCAATCAAAACACCTAGGGTAGCTGAATGGATATAAAAACATGATCCAACTATATGCTGTCTACAAGAGACCCACCTCACAACAAAAGACACACACAGGATGAGAGTGGAGGGTGGAAATACTTTTTCCATGAAAATGGAAAAGAAAAAAAACGCTGGAGCAGCAATACTCATATCTGACAAAATAGACTTTAAAATGAAGGCCATCACAAGAGACAACAAAGGTCACTACATAATACTAAAGAGATTGGTCCAACAAGAAGATATAACCCTGGTAAAGACTTCTAGAGGGCTTTAAGGGAGAGATTGACAACAATACAGTCATAGTAGGGGACTTTAGCACTCTGCTGACTTCACTGGGTAGGTCTTCCAGACAAAAAGTTAACAAGGAAATTGACTCTAAAGGACACAATGGATCAGATGGATTTAATTGACATTTTTAGAACATTTCACCCCAAAGCTGCAGAATATACATTCTTCTCAAGATGGATCATTCACAAAGATAGAGCACATGTTAGGACACAAAATGAGTCTCTACAAGTTCAAGAAGATTGAAATCATATCAAGCATCTTCTCAGATCACAATGGAATGAAATTAGAAATCAACTACAGTAAAAACACCCAAAAACATTCAAACTTATGGAGACTAAATAGCATGTTATTAAACAATAAATGGGTTACCAAAAAATTTCCTGAAAACAAATGATATGAACACAAAACAACCCAAAAATCTCTAGGAAAAACCAAAAGCAGCCCTGAGAGGGAAGTTCATAGAACTACAGGCCTACCTCAAAAAACAAGAAAAATCAACAATAAGCTACTTAACACTACAACTCAAATAATGAGAACAACAAGGGAAGCTCAGAGTAAGCAGAAGGCAGGAAATAATAAAAATTAGAGCAGGAATAAATGACATAGACTAAAAAAGCAATACATAAAATCCATGAAACCAAGAGCTGGTTCTTTGAAAGGATAAACAGAACTGATGAACCTTTTGCCAGACTCATCAAGAAACAGGGAGGACCCAAATAAGTAAAATCAGAAACCAAAGCGGAGAAATAACCACTGACACCACAGAAATACAAAGCATCACAAGGAAATACTATGAAAACTATATGCCAACAAGCTGGACAATGTGTATGAAATGAACAAATTCCTAGAAAAAATACAATCTCCCTAAACGGAATTAGGAAGAATCAGAAAACCTGAGTAGGCCAATAAAAACTTAGGAAGTTTGAAGCAGTATTCAAAAAATTCCCAGCAAACAAAAGCCTGGGTCCAGACTGCTTCACAGGGAAGTTTACCAAACATTCAAAGAAGATCACTTATCCTCCTCAAACTATTCCACAACATCCAAGAGGAAGGAACTCCTCCAAGCTCTTTTATGAGGCCAGCATTACCCTAATTCCAAAACCAGGTAAAGACACTACAAAGAAAAATAATTACAGGCCAATATCCCTGATGAACATAGATGCTAAAATCCTCAACAAAATATTAGCAAATCAGATTCAGCAATATATTACAAAGATAATACACCATGACCAAGTGGGAATTATTCCGGGAATGTAAGGCTGGTACAATATTTGCAAATCAATAAATGTGATACATCACATTAATAAATTGAAAGACAAAAATCACATGATCATATCAACAGACACAGAAAAAGCATTTGACAAAATCCCACACCCATTTTCTATAAAAACTCTCAGCAAAGTGGGAATAGAGGGAGCATAGCTCAACCATATAACAGACACAGAAAAGCATTTGACAAAATCCCACACCCATTTTCTATAAAAACTCTCAGCAAAGTGGGAATAGAGGGAGCATAGCTCAACCATATAAAGCCCATATATGACAAACGTACAGCCAACATCATACCCAATGGTCAATAGCTAAAACCATTTCCCCTAAGAACAGGATCAAGACAGGGATGTCCACTTTCACCACTCTTATTCAACACAGTACTGGGAGTCCTAGCCACAGAAATCAGACAAGAAGAAATAAAAGGCATCCAAATTGGAAAGGAGGAAGTAAAACTCTCATTATTCGCAGATGACATGATATTGTACATAGAAAACCTTAAAGACTCAACGAAAAACTTCTAGATTTAATAAATGAATTTGGCAATGTAGCAGGATACAAAATCAACCCTAAAAAATGGATGCTTTTTTAAAAATATATATATTTTATTGATTTTTTACAGAGAGGAAGGGAGAGGGATAGAGAGTTAGAAACATTGATGAGAGAGAAACATCGATCAGCTGCCTCCTACACCCCCCTTGACTGGAATCGAACCCGGGACCCTTCAGTCCGAAGGCCGACGCTCTATCCACTGAGCCAAATTGGTCAGGGCTGGATGCCTTTTTATACACCAATAATGAATTCTCAAAAAGAGAAACTAAAGAAGCAATCCCATTTACCACTGCACCAAAAAATTTAAAATACTTAGGAATAAACTTAACTAAGGAGACAAAAGACCTGTACTCAGAAAACTACAGGACATTGAAAAAAGACATATAAGAACATAGAAACAAGTGGAAGAATAGACTGTGTTCATGGGTAGGTAGAATTAACATCTTTCAAATGTCCATAGTACCCAAGGCAATCTACAGATTCAATGCAATCCCTATTAAAATACCAACAGCATATTTCACATCTCTAGAACAAATATTCCAAAAATTTATATGGAATAAAAAAAAGACCCCGAATAGCTGCAGCAATCTTGAGAAAGAACAACAAAGTTGGAGGAATCACAATACCAGATTTCAAGTTATACTATAAAGCCACTGTAATCAAAACAGCCTGGTACTGGTAAAAGAACGCCATATAGATCAACTGAACAGAATAGAGACCCTAGAAATTGACCCAAGCCATTATGCTCAATTAATATTTGACAAAGGAGGCAAGAGCATACAATGGAGTCAAGACAGTCTCTTCAATAAATGGTGTTGGGAAAATTGGACAGATACATGCAAAAAAATGAAACTAGACCACCAACTTACACCATACACAAGAATAAATTCAAAATGGATAAAAGACTTAAATGTAAGTTGTGAAACCATAAAAATCCTGGAAGAAATCATAGGTAGCAAAATCTCAGACATCTCTCATAGCAATATGTTTACGGATACATATCCTAGGGCAAAGGACACTAAAGAGAAAATAAAAAATTGGGGCCACATCAAAATAAAAAGCTTCTGCTCAGCAAAAGAAACATTCAACAAAATGAAAAGGGAGCCCACCTAATGGGAGAACATATTTGGCAATGATACATCTGAAAAAGGGTTACTATCCAAAATATATAAGGAATTCATACAACTTAACAGAAGGAAGACAAACAATCCAATTAAAATATGGGCAAAGGATATCCCTAGACACTTCTCCAAAGAGGACATACAGATGGTTAAGAGACATATGAAAAAATGCTCAAGGTCACTGATCATCAGAGAGATGCAAATTAAAATGACAATGCGGTATCACCTCACACCTGTCAGAATGGCTACCACCAACTAATCAACAAATGACAAGAGCTGGTGAGGATATCGAGAAAAGGGAACCCTAGTACACTTCTGGTGTCAATGCAGACTGGTGCAGCCATTATTGAAAACAGTATGGAGTTTCCTCAAAAAACTAAATAGGGATCTGCCACTTGATCCAGTCATCCCACTTCTAGGAATATAACCTAAGAAACATGAAATAAAAATCAGAAAGAATGTATGCACCCCTAGTTCATAGCAGCATTAATTTGCAATAGCTAAGATTTGGAAAAAGCCCAAGTGCCCATCAGTAGATGAGTGGATAAAAAAGCTGTGGTACATTTATACCATGGAATACTATGCAGCAGTAAAAAAGAAGGATCTCTTACTCTTTGAGACAGCATGGAGGGACCTGGACAGTATCATGCTAAGTGAAATAAGTCAGTCAGAGAAAGACAAGTATCACATGATCTCACTCCTATGTGAAATCTAAATAACAAAATAAAATAATGAACGGAATGTATCCAGAGCTATGGAAGCATGGAACAGAGTGCGGAATCTCAGAGGGAAGGCGGGGGAGGGTAGGTGGGTGGGAGGTAATCAACCAAGGACCTTGTATGCATATATGCATGGCCCATGGACACAGTTAATGGGGCAGCGAGGTCCTGGGTCTGGGGATGGGCTGGACGGGGTCAAGTGGGGGGAGGGGGAGGAGACATACGTAATACTTTCAACAATAAAGAATTATATTTAAAAATTCTGAAATTAGAAAAAATAAACAATAAGACAAATATAATTTTTAGGGACAACAGAAAAGTTATTGATAGCAAGAAATGACATCTAAGTTAATATATTAATATAAGTGGATGATAGGCAGCAAGATATGCTAACTTTTTTCATACAAAAGGCAGAAAAAATACTTTTTTCTATTTGCTTTAATAATGCTAGAAATAAAGTCTAAACAGAAGCATGAATACATACTACTGACAGTTGACAAAGGGAGGGGCAACTGGAAATAAAAATGAAATAACGTGCTTTGATAAGAATATCCTGAGTTCACTGTACAGGTGTGCTAGAAACACGGGCACATATAGCACAAGGACGGACAGTGCCGCAGGTCCTGGTACAATGTTTTGTTCAATGTTGTTTTGTTTCGACGCTGATGGGATGCTAGGGGCACTAACTCTGGTTCCTATGCATTAGCCCATGATCAAATCATTTCCCTTTAGTCAACGCACCACTGTGTGCTGTGTATGGCTCTCCCGCCCCTACCTCATCCAGCAGCGCCAGGTGCACCGGGGTGTGGTCAGTCTGCAGCTGGAAGTACCGTGGCTCTGACACGGTCCAGTCCACCCACTTCAGCACACCCATCGCCACCACTGGAAACCTGCCGGTAAGAAGACACAATGCTCCCTTTCAAAATTTTTTCAACAACAAACAGAAAGGTTTAAAAAACAAGGACAACAAACTCAATCTATCCCATCAATCCTTTCTGATACTCTCTGCAAGGGAGATACCCATTAGTGAGAGATGAGCTGGTTCCCTGCCAACACACAGTGAAGAACCCTGCTCAGCGCTCGGCTCCTTTACCTCCTCCCTGCTTGACAGGAGAGCATCCATGGAGCCCCGCGGGAGCTGGGGGACAGGTTGAAGTTCACTGTTATTTAGCAAACCCTCTCCTTGTCCCTATAGCACAGGCTAATGGGAAAGACTCAAGTGCCTAAGAGAACACCCATCTGTAAGCTTTTCTATGAACTCTTATTGATATAATTGGCATATTGTTGGGTCTAACTTTTACTGTCAATAGACCCTTTTCTCCAAATCAGTTTTTGTAACTCAGTTTAAAGTTCTCTATAAACATTCAAACAAGAAAAAATAAATAAAATGAGTAAACATTTCTGAAGCTTCTGCAGGGTTTTTGAGCAAACTACTCCGAGGGATGAAGGTGAGCACCGAGCGGTCTGCTTACCTGATGCACTGGTAGAGTGTGCTCAGCTCGGCCACCAGTTCAGAGGCCCCTTTGTTCTCATTACAACACAGATTGTGAACGGTTTCGACCGCCTTCGACGTCGACTTCAGCTCATCCTTGTTGATGCTCACTCGCTTGTTCTGAAAACCCCCCAACCCCGTTGGTGAATCCCACAGAGCACATGCCTGGCCAGTGGGGTGATCTGCTATGGGCCACCTCTCCCTGCAAAGGCCCCTCCCTACTCTGAAGTCAGGGGTCCATTTACATTTAACTGTCACCCTCCCCAGTCACACATTACAGAGAGACTGAAAAAGGTCTCTTTTTTTTTAAGATCTCATTCTTTAGTCACTCAAACTTCAAACTATAGTTTGAATAAATAGTAGAGATGCTGTGTTCATTTTCTTGAGACTGTTTTTGGCACTTCGACTATTTTATGAATAAACACTAAAAAAGACATTTCTGACACTATAGGGGCTCATGATTTCTTGCAGCCAGAATCCCCAAATAATCGCCGAGAGGAGGGGGATCACTTGTGTCCCTAACAGCACCTTCTTCCAGGTCTCCACCACACTGGCCGCATACGCCAAGATGTGGATGTACTTGTGCTTGTGGTCCTGGTTGATCCTGGTGCCGGGTTTGAAGAGCGACTGCATGAACAGGTCCAGGAAGGCTGGCACCCGGATCTGGGGAGGACACATGACAAGTTGGGAAGGGACGCAGAAACATGGCAGGTGAGTCCACGCGCTCTCATGTGGTGGGTGGTGGGCCGTGAGTGGCGCACACCCAGCAGCGGCTTCAGTGTGTGGGCTTGGCGTGGGATGGGGAGGACCAGGCAATGCACAGAAACATTTTGACAGGAGTTTGTACTCACTGACGTGAGAGAATTAAGAGAGACACAGACTTCCGCAGTCCCCCTCCCAACTCGGCACGGGGTGCCCCGCTTTACTGTTACAATGAAAAGGCACTTACGAGTTCAACAGGAGGCGGGTCCATGCTCGTAAACATCTTGAACAGGACTGTGATGTCAGCCGGATTCAGGGCTCCTTTGGACAACATAGCCCCCAGGGCCTGGCACGCCCTCGGGTAGGAGGCAGCCGTGCCTAGTGCTAGTGTGATCTGACTGGCGTCATGGCCTCTTGGTGAAAACAATCAGATATCTCATCGTCAGTAAGGGAGCATACACCATTAACGACCCCTCCCTGCCTCCCTTTTTCTCAGGGAATGCTCTGACGGCTGGGATCCCTGTTTTTTCCTAGTCCTGCTTTCACTGTACACTCACTAACTGACCCAGGAGACAACACTTGGAGCTACTGGGAAGGAAGGGTTCCAACACAGCTCACAGACTTTCTAAAAGGAACCACTCACTTTCTAAATACCTTGTTAAGACTCCACCAGTAGAAAATAAAGAGCTAATCTTATTCTACAATATGGACAACACCACAATAATTAGACTACTTACTAACCACTTCCAGACTATTCTTATTTACAGCTGATAAATCCCAATATATGAAAACGCAGGTTCAAAACTCCAGTGAGTTGAACAATCTTCAAGTACTTAACGAATTATTCATCAAAGCAACACTTAAGGAAGCAAGGCCTCCCCACGTCCTGAAGTTCCCCTGGCTTCTCCAGCTTGGGGGTCAGAGGCAGGCTGCCTGTGTGACCTAGAATCTTCGGTTGTGGAAGCAGGGCAATGGGGGGTCTACTGGGGCACCTAGCGGGACCCGGTGATCACAGACACCGCTCACTTCTCCTGGGCGAAGCGCTGGACCTCCTGAGCGATCCTGCGCACGGTGGAGCCGCCCTGCTCCTCTTGAGCCAGCACAGACATCATGGCCTGGGCAAACAGGTATGTGTGCTCCCCATGGCACACCATTTTCTGAAAAATTCCAGGGAGAGAGTGTGAGGTTTCAGGATACAGCAATGACAAATGCAGAGCAAAGAGCAGATGACCCTGTCCTCCCGCAGGAAGCTGCCATTGTGGAAGGAGCTTTTGGCCGGGGTGTCCCCTAAAGGAAGGGGCATTTCACACTGGAAATGCTCGACCCAGCTGCCTCCTTCCACTCCGAGATGAATTAAGAACTTACGGCAAACTCAGGAAGATTTTTTTCAAGGTTTTCTTCTCCTCCATCCAAAATTGTAGCCAGAGAGGTACGGAGTACTCTAGAGAACACCTCCAGCTGCTGGCAGGCTGTGGATACACTGGTTATCTCCCCTTGGTACCCTGCGTCAGAAATAAGCTACAACCCAAAATAAGAAGCCAAACAGAGTGTCAGCAAGTAGCGGCTACACATTTCACAGCAAGTTGGCTTGTTATCAATGTTCGTGGTGAGATGGGACAAGCAAGCACTGGTCTCAGTCACACACCTTCACTCTGACCCTGCTTTGCCTCTAACTAGGTTTGTGCCCAAGCCGACCACCTGGCTCGGTTTCTTTGTAAAATGGAGGAGACAGACCAGGCAGTCCTAAAGGCCCCCTTGGGACACAATGGACTCTATGTTTCTGCCAAATCCTAGAAACCCCAGATATGCTGACCCAGAAGCACACATACAAATTCTGTGCTTTTCTTTCTCATGTAAGGCTTACTAAAGTAAAATGATGAAAGCCTCTACCAAAAAAGCAAATGCAGTCTTTCGAAGGAGAAAGATCACCCACCCACTAACCATCCTTAAAAATAACAATTGCTCATGAACGCTTTTGTCTTTCTCTGACTCTGGCCCTCTTCCTACCTTAACAGTGAAGTTAAGCATCAAACAGTCTGGATGGGCTTCAGCCAGTTTGTAGAAAAGATCTCTCCATGTGGTATGTGCAATCATTTGTTCAAGCCAAGCTGGGGTCTGCCGACAGACAGACAGACAGACAGACAGAAGTGAGGCCCAGCATTAGCTTAGTGAAGACTGTGCTGTCTAAACAATCACGGATATTTTCAGCTGCAGAGTAGAGCCCTGGGAGCGTTGGATGTGGCCCCACAGTCCCAGAGCTGCTGACGCCACACGGGCAGCTGAGTGACAGTTGAACACCCACTCACGGCTTCTGGGAGAGCCGACTCCACACAGGACACGCCGAGGCACTTCCTGGAGACTTCCAAGAGTCCCACAGAAGCACGCGCACAGGAGTACATCACACGCACAACCGCTTCCTGCTAAATCAGCTGTGCGCCTGGGCACAGAGGACAAGGCAACTGAAACAGCGCAGATGGCTTTGCCATCACTGGTGAAGCAGCCAAGGGAATGTGACTCTCAGCTCTCCTACTGCATGGCTGCCAGGGCTGCGCTCTGCATCCACCAGCCTTCCGTGCCAAGGTTGAGCTGCCCATAGGCTGCTCCCAGACACTGAGGGTGGCAGGGCTCTGAGGGCTCCAGTGACAGGTTACTTGCAGACTCTGACACTGCTGAAACTTTCTGACAACTGCACTATCATCTGAGACCCCTCCTACCCAACCATCTGAGACCCCTCCTACCCGCCCTCCCTCTTGTCTTCAGGGGTCAGGCCTGCCTCACAGCTCCTGCAGCCTCCTCTAGCCACTACCCATCTTCCTCAAAGGTGTGTCCCCCCAAACCTCCCACTTACTAATCCAGCCCTGGCATCTTCCTTTTGGAGGACCTAAATGAACAAACCACACCACCTTAGAGCCTGCGCCTAGAGTAGCATGGAATGGGAGGTGGGAATCTGCTGTTCTTTCTCTGGAGCTGGTACCTGTGTGCCTCTCCCCACTAGACCAAGTGTGGCATTTAAAGGGCAATTCTGACTCGATGCAACTTCTGGCTCACACCCCGATTTTAGTCCCTAACTCTTACATTTCTTATATAACATGCCACACTCCACTGTACACATGGAATTAGCAAAAGGCCTTAGGAACTGGTATTAGAAAAAGAAAAAAGGCCCCTCACCTCTCCTTCTTCAGTAAAAATAGAGTCTGCTTTGCGGGGGTCAAAATGCTTGATCAATAAATTCTTCAAGTGATTCTCCACGGTCTCCTGCACCTGCACGGGTTCAACGCCTGAGAGAGAACGACAACCTCTCAACTCGTTGTGTTGCTTTAAAGAAAGTAGACAGCTCCAGTCTATACGTGAGTCAAATATGAGAGACCTGTTTCTGACAACTGAGGATCTGGGATCTCTTTTAAAAATTCCTATTTAGTAACCCTACTCAGTGCTAAGAACCCAAAGAAGCACAGAGCAGAACACAAGGATGCTCTACCCTTTTCTACACGGACAGGACAATGTCTTCAATCCTCGCTAAGGACAAGAACAAATGAGCAAACCAGACAGGCAGGGGGACAGACAGGCACACCCCTGCACAGGAGGAGGGAGCAGATGCCAGCCAGCAGAGACACTTGTCTAACCACTGTGACAGCGACGACAGACTCGTTTCCAGGAAGTCTTACTGTGTCGTCGCAGCCAGTTTCGTGATTGACAGGAGGCTCTACTCTGATCACATTCGCTGAAAGCCACAATCATACTCAGCCCTAAACTGTCCACCATCTGCTGTTTGCTCTCATGGACCTCTGAAATGGCACACTGAACATACACCGTGTAACAGTCCAATGAGAATCACAGTAGCGGGCTATCTGTAAACCTCAGTTCCCGAACGAAAGATAAGGGTAGGAAAGTTCAGTTCCGTCTTACTAAGTCTTAAAAACCAGGAAGACAGAGAGGCTTTCCTATTTATCCGCATTATAATGACCCAAAGGTCTTCGGAAAAGGGGGAGAAGGTGATGAGCAGCCAGGACAGGGGCCACCCACAGAGCACCTGTCTGAATGAGCCACTCAGCCAGCAGGTTGACAGTCTGGGCCACAGCAGTGTAGTTCTCTGACAAGAGCTGGATCACGTTCTCTGGAGACCCTCCTGCCTGAAAGTACCTAGAAAAAGTAACGAACTCTTACACTAAAATGACGGTAGACAGGTATGGGGGTGGATGACAACAGGGAGGCAGGTGAGGAGGGACAGGTTAAGGTTTTTACAGTGTGGAGGGGACCCCTAGAAGCCTTCCTGTCCAATATCAGCATTCTTACTTTTACAGGTCACCTTCTGGGTCCACTACAAAACCTTCTCTAAATTATCGCCACCCTCCTCCCAAAACAAATAACCCTTCTCACATCCGTACCTCTTGAGAGTGTTGAAGATGGAGGGCTCCATGATGTAGTCCCGGGTGGAAAACTTGTGGAGGCACTCCTGCTGGACCTCAGCGTCATCCTCCCCCTCCGCATACTCCTCCTCCTGCTGGGGGTCATTTCTCCATTAACACAAGCTCCGGTAACCTCACAAGTCTCTCTCACACTGTCCCCTTCAAATTATGCCACACACGGTACATTATTACATGTGACTTCCGTGCGACTCTCAGGGAGTGGGCTGGACAGTAATGAGTGGCCAAGGAAATGGGATCCAGAGTCACACCAAGGGGGTCTGTCTTGGCCTCTGCCCTGGAGAACCTGTGCACGCGGTCACACAAGCCACCTCGTCTCTGGGCACCTTCCCTGTTAAACAAACAAAGGGCACCAAAGCACCTACTCCCACTTGGCTGTTGGGAGGACTGCACAGCTAATTTTTGGAAGAGCCAAATCCAGTGCCTGCCATTTAGTAAGAGTTCAGCAGACATTAGCTATTACTGTTTTTACTATTATTCTGTATGTGCCATTTCACGCTTTCTGGCCAAGTTAAGGCAATAGTGATTCCTGCAGGCACACACCGCCCACCTGCTGTTAGAAAGTAAGGACCACAGACTTGCATCGTATAAGCAGCCCTGGCTGGGTTCTAGTCCCCCTTCTACCTGGAAACCACTTAAGCACGTTCCCGAGTCTAAGGACAAAGCAGGAGGAGGATGTGATAACCCTGGACCAGTGACCCCGAGGTCTGCCCAGCTCTCACTGTTGTCCTAATGAACAAGCAGGTGCTTCTGAACACTTGCTGTGCGCTGGGAGCACTGGCTGACCCCCAGGGGACCTAGGAACATGGAAGACAAGGAGTGTCTCTCCACCCAAGGAGTTCACAAACTAGTCGGAGACCAACCTCCACGTCACTGACTCTCCGTAGGGCAAGAGCTGGGCCAGACTCAGCAAACATGGCCCGGGGCCCAATCCAGTCCTCCTCGTTTTTGTGAATAGAACTGTATTGGAACAACAGCCAACCCGTTTTTTAACAACATAGTACCTATGGCTGCTTTGCCCTTAGAAGAGCAGAGCTGAGTGGCTGTAGAGACCTGCACAGCCTAAAATGCCCCGTGGCCTTCACAGAGAAGTCGCCCCCCCTGTGCAGACCGGGAGTCCCCGGTGAGACCATGCCTGACCGGAGCCTTGAACAAGGCTGTGAGGGACGGCGGGACTCACCGAGGCTCCTCCTCCTGTATGAGTCTTGGGCCTCTACCCTGGACTCCCCTCCCTCCTCCTCCATCTCCTCTCGGACCATACCACCTCCCTGCCCGTAAATCCAGAATTTAGCCTCAATCAATCGATTGATGGATGGAAACCTCTCTCTCTCTCTCTCCAGACTCAAGTATTCATCAGTCTGTTCTCAGGTCCATTCAGATGCCCCACCAGAATTCCAAACTCACTTGATCCAAAACTGACCTCACCTTCCCCCTACAGCCCCTATTTCAGTACAAGGTCCCCTATCTGCCTGTTACCAAGCCCACAGACCCAGGCGTCCTCAATTCCCCCGCTTGTTGGTCCTGCGAGGCCCTTCTCTCCAGCTTCTCCTCCCGATCCTGGGGGTGTCACAGGACCAGCATTCCCCTCCGGGCTCGGCCTCCTTCCTGCCTCTCAACCACCTCTCACCCGATGCCCCAGGCATCTTTTAAAAATGTTTTATTTTTTAACCCTCACCTGAGAATATATTTTTACTGATTTTAGAGAGGGAAACACGGATCTGTTGCCTCCTGTACACACGGGATCAAACCCTCAACCTAAGTATGTGCCTGACCTGAATCGACCGGAAACCTTTCTGTACCGGGCGATGCTCCACCAACGCGGCCACCCGGCCGGGGCCAGCTACCTTCCTAAGCCGTCAAGCGGCCGTCGCACCCCGAAGACACATCCGCTCTGGGGTGCCCTCAGCCCTCGCTCTTAGCTTCCCCCGCGTGGGCGTCACATCTCCCCGCCTCCCTCCATCAGCAAGCTCGGCCCCTGGGGAGAGGGCAGCAGCATCGTCCCGAACTCAGCTCAGCCATCCCTTCACCTTCCCTGACTTCTCCCCCTCATCGGCGCAGGTACATGGCGCCATTGGGAGCGACAGTGCCCGCTCGCCGGGCCCAGCCCCATCGGCGCGAGCCCAGTGCGGGGCGGAACTGGGTCATGATGAGACTG